ATAGCTGCGATCCTGGCAGCTGTTGACCAAAATATACGACTTTCTTAAAGCATCTTCAAGCTGTTCTAGAGGCTCCCGAGTCTCAGGATACCTCTTAAGTTCCGAGATCTTAAGTTGCTCCAGCAGGTTTCCAATCAACTTCAGGTGCTGAGCAAATTGCCTGCAATTCTTTTTGTGCATTCGTGCAGTGCTTGCCGATTTCACTATCATAGAAATCAAACGAACTGCATCGATGCCCGTAAGCTGGGCCACATTGGCTAACTCCCCAAGTGTATCCCACGAAGACATATTTGTCTCTCAAAACTCTCGATCAAACTTGAACTCTCCAACAGTCAAAAAAGTCCAAAAACAAAGTATCCGTTTAATCTCTAACTCAATACATAAGAATTTGCCAAACTCGGAATCTCAAAGCACTGCCACCGATTAAAATGATGCTATAAGAGAACGAAGTCGTTCATCAGGCGGTTGACAATACAAAGACCTTCGTCGCCAGCAATGGATCTTCAAAAGAAAACAAACAAAGGAATTGGTACTAAACAACGCCGAATCAAAAGATCAAGAGCAAGATCTTCAACGTCGGCGCCCCAAGCTCACCAGAATGCATGTCGGCTACAGAAAATAATAATAAATAAACAAATCAGAAAAAACTCCACCAAAGAAAACCAGAAGATAAACTCTTATTTCCTTTGTACTCTCTACTCTTTAGTATATCCTTTTTCCTTCCATCGACTCACTTTTTCAACGAAATAAATTGACCAGAAAAAAAAGTATATTCAAAAGACAAACAAGCTGCATTTGAATCTGCAAAAAGAACATTCAAATCAAACAAAACATTAAGCATCAATAGATTCTCACACCTCCACCTCTTTTCCTCTCCGCCATTACTACTACTTCACCTTCACAGTAATATCATACAAAAAAAAAAAAAAAAAACATACACAAAAGGATATAATCAAGAGAGATTTTGTTCGATTACCGGAGAGAGGAGATGAACGGTCACAACGCACAGGTCAAATGTCTGCATAGCTTTGCGGAAAATTGAATTGTGTTTCTTCTCATTCCACTTCGTCTTCCATGGAAATTCGGAAAAATCTCTCTCTCTCTCTCTCTCTCTCTCTCTGAGAATTCGGTCCTCTTTTTCAGTTTCGGTGTGGTTTGTCTGAGGAGAGAGAAAGAATGAAAGCGAGAGAGAGGTCTGGTTGCAGCAGAGTGACAACTCTCACGCCATTACAGACAAAGGAAGAAGAACGGGCAGTTCAGTGGCGTCCATGTGAATGAGAATTTACGATGTTACCCTCCACTGGTTCACGGACCGCGGAAAAAAAAAATTATATGATAAATGACTAAATTAATTTTATTTATTTACAGGCTGGAAGTGGACCTCTTATTAGTAGTTACCTAATGAAAGGCATGGCCATGTAGCCATAGTGTTAATTGGCCATGGCACGGACCCTCTACTCGTTCATATATCATCAAAAGTCGTCGCCTACCTAAGTCTAAGAACAAAAAAGTAATTCACTCCGACCCATAAATGCCAGAAATAGATGAATCATCCCTTATATATACACACCGAGTCAATGAACTCATTAAATTAAAAAAAAAAAAGAAGCATAAATAAAAAATAATTATTAATTAAAATTTTATATAAATAAATAATTTCACGAAAATAAATGATAAAAAGCTTTTTTTTTTTTTTTCAGTAATATATTTTAAAAACTGGAAACAAATATTGACGTGGAATATTCAAGTCCATTTCCATAGGCATGGTGGTGATGACGAGGCAACCATTAAATCTGCCACGTATTAATTTTAATTCCACTCCTTGCCCTTACATGCGTTTTACTTTTTTTCATTTTTACTTTTGGTTGTCGGTTTTAACCGTCGGTGAGGTTAAATCTCCATTTTTAACTGTCTTGCTTAAATTTAAATTATAAACTAATAATTATATTAATTTAAATTATTTGTTGTAAATTTAAATAATTAATATTATTTTTTTAATTTGTTGATATTTTGTAAAAAAAAGAAGGGAGATAAGACTAAATTCAATGATGAAAATAATTAATAAGAAGAAGAAAAGTAAGCTTTAAAATCAAGTAATTGGTAGCTTTAATATAGGATGGGTTTTTTTTTGCCCTTTTTGTTGGATATTTGGGGTGTTTGGTGATGGGAATTACGGAGAGCCAAAAGGTTGCCGTAATTCTCGGATAAGGATAGGATGTGTTTGGATACGTTTCATGTGGATTTCGATTTCATTCCATTCTCAGAATCTATTTTAAGAATTTCAACTCTAATTATTTTATATTTAAAAAAATCAAAATATGATGTTCTCTTTACGTTTTTCTTTTGGGTTTCTCTCACGACTTTAAAATGCCTCTACGGAAACGTTTCCACACCCTTAATAATAGTGGTTTGAAATTCAAAAGAAAAAGTTCAAAGATGACAATATTTGCTAGCGGTAGGCCTAAGTAGTTACAAATGGTATCAAATCCAGACACCGGACGATGTGCCAGCCTTCTCACTATTCTTCGAAGGGATAGACACGATGGGATGTACCAGTAAGGACGCTGGACCCTAAGGAAATGGATTTGAGGCATTACAATATTTCCTTTCTCTAATTATTGATGATTTGATTTTCTATATATAAATATAATATATAATTACATATAATCACGTAATTATTAATATTAATATAAGATTGTTCTTTTGATTTGAATGATATAATTTAAATTATAATAATTGTGAATACTTTGGTAAGAGGTAAGCATGCTAGAAATTTGTGATCAATATTTTTGTTTTTGTAAGTATAAATTATAACCGCAAGCAATTTGGTCGGTACGTGAAGTTTCATTGAAAACCTATATTTTAGTCCAAAAGGCCTTATATGAAGATAGTATTCCTTAATTAGTCATTTTTTACTTTGCTTTTGGGAGGCTTGACTCCTCTTTCTTTTGGAGTTCTTTGTTCAACATTTGAGAATTCTATTAACATAACTAAGTTTAGGGCATGACTATGATACCAAGTTAGATGAAACACGACTTTCCACAATAGTACGATATTGTCCACTTTGAGCATAAGCTCTTATTGAGGCTTCGCTTTGAGCTCCCCCAAAATGCTTCAAATCAATAGAGAGAGTATTCCTTGATTATAAACCCTTGATCATTTCTTAAATTAGCGACTTTCATCATCCAACAAATATAGGTCAATATTAATAAAAGAGTTGGACTGGATAATCGAGATCCGTGGCGGCACTAGCCCACCTCAATAATCTTTTTACTGAATTAAGCTTGCTATTTAAGTTCTTCATTTTTTTTAGCAGTTGTTTGGGAATTCTTTGAAAATTTGATGAATATATGTTTGGATAATTTTGAAGATCGCCGTCGGTGGTGGTTGAAATTGGTTGTGGCCGCCGTCGTAGTTCGCATCAGACATCGGCGGTACGCCCACCATTCCCGAGCAATTGAGTGGGAACAGCCGGTACCAGGTGACCACTGACTAATTCCTATTAAAATAATATAAATAAAGAAATAGAAAAAGCAATCACGTGACACATGATCCTAAGGGCGTGGCAGCACGTGAATGGAGAAGCACACGTGCAAATGAATACTATTTTAGTCGGCCCCACACGTGTTTAGATGGACTTGACTTTTTTCAACGCTATATTATTCAAATGTCCCAAATAAGATCTGCTGACGTGGATTTAATATTTTTTTCACAGTACAATGCAGAATCCAATGCTCATTTTTTTGTTTTCTATTTTTATTTTTGTACCATTAATTTTATTTAAACAATTAAAATATTGTTCAACATATAGTAAATAATTTATTTTAAAAAATAAAAGTTTTATTAAAATAGTTCTCGAGCGAGACCTTAATTATTTAGTACGAGCGAAAATTTAATTAAAGTAATTATTATTTTTATTTGAATATTCTTAGTTTTTAGAAAAGCAAATAATGATAAATACAATAATGCAAATTATTGGGAGTTATTTGACTGTTTATCTAACAGAACCAGCACTTCATTTATTGTTTTTTAATTGATTTTACAACTTTTGGTTGACTTGTAAACCTAACATACTGGACCATTGAATTTGCTTTATGGAATCCTATGCAAAATAATAATAATAACAATAAAGTGGATGAATTTTAATATTTATATCTAATATACAATAATTTAAATAAATGTATTAAATTTTAGTATAATATATTTATTTTTCATGTTATTTGAGTGAAACTTATTTGGACGATAATGCCCCTGAACTTAGCCTGAAGGAAAGCTCCAACTCACGAGTGATTCATGTGACTTGAATGGGTTTATTTGTACTTTACTAAAGAATTAATATCTCACATGAAATTTCACAACCCACAAGCTCCCCTTCGTCGTCTTTTACATCGACAATTTTATCCTTGGATATATTTGTTTCCGTCCTCCCACTTAAGGGTATTTCTGTCCAGTTAATTAAAAATGTTCGGGAAATTTGAGTATTTAACTTAATGAAAGGATTAATAGATGAGTCGATGAAATAAAAATAAAATAAAATAAAAAAACTGTTTATTACCTAAATTGAGGAAGCCAATGAAATAAGAAAAGCATTGAATGAGGGAAAACTTTAGGTTAAATGTTAATTTCCCTCCAAAATGAATAAAGTATATTTTGGTTTTCCCTCCCATAAATTAATTTTTTTAAATGATTAAAATAAAAATTATTCCCACCAATAAAAATAAATAATAATAATAAAAAATTACACACTTTCTATATCTGAGCAAGAGGAACGCGATCATCGCCATTTCCCATGGCCCGCGTGGACCCACTCTTCCACTTCGCATGTGTCACAACCAATAAGAATTCAACACGTGTCCATCTCATTACCTGCAGTTTTTTGTTCGCTTCTAAAACTGTGGCTTCGCAAAAATTTTTTTGGCGGGCACTTTCGTGAAATTCAAATAAAGATCAAACCCTAGCCTCTCTTTCGCTTCTCGTCCTTGTTTTCCCTCCCTTCTTGTTCTTCTTCTCTTTCTCTCTCGTTATTGCGAATTTCGAGGGGTTTATCCTAAATTCTTTCTACTCACAGGTTGGTTTCGATTTTGTTTATTCCCATTTCTCTGATTTGTTTTTTTTGTTCCGTTTCGATTCTTGCTGCGTTTCTTGAATGTTTTTGATTCGGTATAGATTTGTAGTTTGAGGGGTTTGGGTTTTATTTTCAGTCTCTTTTCGAGGTGGGTTTTTTTTTTATTTTTTTTATTTTTTCCGCCGTTCTTGGCGTTTCTGATGAATTTCATATGCAGTTTGAATGTTCAAGAACTCATTGAAACTGTTTGAATTTTGTGTGGCAGGTTATGTTGATGGGTTGGTTTTAATTATTCATGTTGCGGGTTCATAAGAGTGGTAGAAAAAGGCGTTTGGGTTTGCTGTGAATGGGGAAAGTAAAGGAAGGAATGGGGGAGGCGTTTTCGAACGAAAGGGAGTCGAAGAAATTGAAGAGGAGAAGGCGGGCGAAGGGCTCTTCTGGGAAGTATTTGAAGCCTGGTGCTCTGTCGAAGCTGCGGTGCAGCAAGGGCTCGGTTGGTAAATCTTGTACTTATCTTGGAAGGAAGAGGGTGGCTGTGTTGGATGCTGGGAAGACTAAGAGGAATAATGCGGGGCTTGAGGACAAGGTTTCTGATAGAAGTCCTTTGATGTTGTCGCCTGTCAAGTTGGTGATGCATATAAATCATATTAGTACCCCAAGAACTCCTCGAGTTGAAAGCTGCGAATCAGAGTCACGGCTGGAATCTCTGCCTATGGATCTATTGGTATTGTTAATATTCATCTAATTCTTTTCTGATTCCTAGAACATAACGTGTTCATCTCAAAATTAAATCAAATGCATAAAACCCAACTTATTCCGTTTTCTTTACCGATTGTATGATCTTCTTTTGCTTGCATTCTTTTTAAGCTATGATCTGTGACTAGAAATATTTGTTCCTTTAATGGATCATGGATTTTCAATGGGGTTTTAGTGTCAAAACCAATGTTTTATGATTCATTTCACTTTGCGAAGATAATGTAATGACCAACTTTTAGTAAAAAGGCCAAAGCCTTTCTAGCTGTTACTTTCTAAATTATCAACTTAGAAAACCCAAGTTCTTTTGATCTTGAAGAACATGTTTGATCACGCATATAGATTTGAGTAATCATGTTGATCTGATCTAGATATGCGCTCAGATTTTGAATTGTTGATGGGTATTAATTTTATGATCTTGTGTCTTAAATTTGTAACTTGAAGGTGAAAGTACTTTGCCATTTGCACCACGACCAACTGAGGGCTGTATTCCATGTCTCTCAACGGATCAGAAAAGCTGTAAGTCTTTGTTTCTGTCTGCCTAAAACGCATCACATTTGTTTGAGATTGATGATCATGACCCTCTATTGAACAGGTTTTGATGGCGAGGCAGTTCCACTTTAATTACACAACCCCAGATCGATCCAGGCAGGAGATGTTGAGAACAACCACCCCTCGACCCACTGAACACTGGCCCTTTGTAAGGTTGGTATTCATTGTTCATGTTTATTTGGACTGGTGAAGGCATATGCTGTTGCTGAACTGGAAATAAATTTTATATTGGGCAGCAAGGGAGATGGAAAAGGCTTTTCATTGCCAAGCCCCCACACTCCGAAAGCGCCAAGACACGGTCCTCGACCGCCATCTCGTCTGAAAGTTTCAGAGATGAGACAGGTTGCTGCTGTTCTGTTTCAAGAAACAGGTTTTCCTTCAAGATGCATGGTTCCCTCTGTTATACCTAAGCCACTCTGCAAATCCCTGGCTTCGAACCGGGTTCTGTTCTACGAGGAGGAGTTGTGCCAAGCTGTTGCTCAAAATAAACTTCGTTGATTGATGTAGTTGGCAATTTCTCGTTGTCTGTTGTTTTTGTGTATATAGGATTTGTGTTGTTGCCTGTAGCAGGTTGGTTTGTTGAGCCAATATAGGAATTCTACAAATTTTGTAGCTGCGTTTGATGCAGATTAGGGGTATCATGGAAGTTCTTGTTCTGTTGGAATGAGGGTTTTAATGATTGATTCAGACTGTAGCTGTGGGAATAATCTATTCCAAACTGGTTACTTGTATAGTTCTATATATATATCTTCTAAAGAGTGGTTTTCTGCTACTTCTCTTTTTATGGTTTATGCAACTATTATGTCCTCCAATTGCTTCAAATCAATGGAGTCTCTGCTCATATTTGATATCCATGATTCACCACACACACACACTCCAAAGCACATGATATCATAATACCCTTATAATAATACTCGAGTGAGTTTCACGTCTTTTAATGAGTCTAGCCTTTATAAACAATGTTTTGTTCTATTATTCAATTGATGTGTGATGTAGCGTTTTTGTTGGCACACTGTTCGGTGTCTAACTCTAATGTCATTTGTATACATCGTTAGCTGTTATTGTTTGGTGAGTCTCCCGGTCTTTTAATGAGTCTAGCCTTTATAAAGATTGTTTTGTTCCATTATTCAATTGATGTGAGATCTAGCGTTCTTGCTGGCACACGTGTCTAACTCTAATATCATTTGTAATAGTGACTCTAATATCATTTGTAACAGTCCAAGATCACATCTAGCAAATATTGTTTACTTCGGTTCATTATATATTATCATCAATCGTGGACTGGTGGTAATATGTAATGAACCAAAGTTGATGATATTTATTAGTGGTGAATTTTCATGGTACACAAAATTTAATGTTTACCGACTATATTGTTCACATTGAAAATTGTTTTTTAAAATTTAAAGACAGATTGAATTTGTAATTCTTTCCACATTTTAATATATTTTGTCTTAATTCACGTGTTTCTATAATTCATGCGCATGGTTAACTATATGAAATCGCTCTCATTTACTATATTTATATTTATCTTAAGGTAGATTTGAATATATATTTGTTTATATGTTTTTATCGATATTTATAAAATATATGTCATATTCAACCAGAAAAATGAAATCCCCCAACCCAAGAGAACAACGGTTGGGATCTAAACTTGGGAATGATCCAATCCAACTGCTAAACGGGTGTGGACTTGGCGGATCGTCAACTCAAGGCTGGTGGATTTCCCTCGCTGTCCCGAATTATACATTTGTCCGGTGATCTTGGAAGCCATACCCAACTTGATTCTGCTGACGAAGAATTGTGCAGAGACGGACAAAAAAAGCGATGACAATGATCACAGACGGAGTTGATGACGAAGAGAAGTGGCTTGCTGTTGGGATCGCCGGCCTCCAGCAGAATGCGTTCTACATGCACCGATCTCTGGTATTGCTATTGAATTCTTGCAACTCTAATGGTTTTCGTGTATATTTCGGGATAAAAGTTTGTGTATAGATCGAGGAGGAGTTAGTAAAGCTTGGAATGTTTTTATGCAAAGATGAGGTTTCTCATTAGAACCCTAATTTTAATTTGGTGTTGGAGCAGGACTCGAACAATCTCAAAGATGCCATGAAGTATTCTTCACAGATGCTGTCTGAGTTACGTACTTCGAAGCTTTCACCTCATAAATACTACGATTTATGTGAGTTATTGCTCTATATCAATGGGTAGCTCTATTTTTGCCTTAGAAATTGAAGGCAGTAATAGAATTTAGGAGAGATATATTTTTTTTAATATGTTCAGATATGCGAGCATTTGATGAGTTGAGGAAACTGGAGATTTTCTTTATGGAGGAGACGAAGCGGGGTGGCTCAATAATTGACTTGTACGAACATGTGCAACACGCAGGCAACATATTACCCAGATTGTGAGTGATTTTTACCCTGAAATCTCATTTAGTAATTGCTGTTGTGGGTGCCACCAAATCTTCCAAGCTCAGCTTGGATTTAGTGGTGAACAACTCAACAATGTGTACAAATGGGGTAAAATGGAATTGGAAATTAGCTTGGATATGTGTGGGTTCTTCTTAAATCTTTTCCTGGGTGTTCAAGCAATTATAGGTCAATTACCAAAGGAAATATATTACCTCTTATCTTGTCGTACCACATTTTTTTTGGAAATACTCTCTCCAATTTGGTGGTTGATGCACTTAGATTGACCCATTTTTTGGCTCTCCATCAAAAAGATTTTTTCTATGGTCAACATCCCAAGTTTTTCTATCTTCTTAACGTTGGATCTCTGCTAATCTGAGGATAGATTATTTTACAAAGGATTTTTATTTTTTTTTTATGTGTGTGTGTGCATATCATACAGAATTTGGCTTCTTGGTGGAGTGCAAACCACAGTGATTCTTTCTGTAATTACAGCCTTTCCATGATTGTATCGAATTGGAAGGCATCTTTTGATGTGTTTGTGTTTTGGTAGGGGTTGCCTCTATCCCCGCCCTTAGGCTGTTCATTTTTTAGCTTTCTAATGAAGTTTGTGATATGTTTCTTATTAAAAAGAAAGAAAGAAAAAAAAAAAAAAAAAAAAAAAAAAAAAAAAAAAAAAA